CCACCACTGACTATCACAATTATTTATTTTATAACTCTACACAACTTTTGGCAACTTAATATAGACACAAACTTATATAACACCACTTAACACGGATTATACGCGTTTTTATTGGCCCCAGCGAAGGGCAGAATAGACCCGGAGTATATTATTGCTCTAGAATTCCTCGCTGAAAACCAACCAAGGTTGGGGAGTAGTCAGAGACCACAAATTATATCAGCACTAGAGAATAATAACTGACTAATTTAAGAAAAGGATTGTTATTTATAGTGTATTTATTGCTGATCTGCAATGTTAAATTTACGTCATTTTGCTATTATTGCAAGTCAGCAATATTGTATTGCATTCCTATGCAATATCATCAAAATTAGGGATGTAACACCTCCCCCCTTTAAAACGAAACATCCGGAAATAGAAAAGGATGTGAGTATAATCCATGTAAGATAAAATTAATATTAGAAATTGAGTTTACAAACTTTTCTTAAATTATATTATATAGTTAGATTATCATAAAAATTAGAAATAGTAAACAACCCAAAATGAAATTAAAGAACCCAGAATTAATTAAACATATTATCAAAATAAAAATAGAACCTATAGATTATATTATTACAATAACTCAAGATTACGTCTTGGAGTACTTACATTGGAATCAGTACTTTCTGTGTCACATTCACGATTGGCCAGTTCAATGCTAGTTCTTGTGCGGATATTAGTGCTAGGTTTAGTCATACAATTATTAAAAATTTTGACACAACAAGAAGTACTGTTTCTATGTTTATTACAACAAACACATTTATAGAGTTTATAAGAAAAATAGGAGAATACAGAGACAGACAGTATGGTAGTAATAATGCTAAAATAGTAACTATAACTAATATGATATGGTTGAGTTTCAATTTTGGTCAAATCGTCATTGATTTGATTTAATCGGTGAGGAGCTTATTGTAATGAATCTAAATTTACATGTGTTAATTTGATAGAGCTCAGATGTGGTAAAGTATCATTTAATTTTACTTTAGAGCAGCAATCATCTTCTATAATATTAAAATTAGGATGTGGAATATTGATTTTAGTTTCAAATTCTTGAGATGGAATGAATTGAAGTAGCTTGTGGTAAGCCTTACAGTATTTAGGCAGGGTTAAAATACCTGTACCAACTATATCATAGTCATTTATAATGCCATTACAATTAATAGAGATTTTTTGTTAAATCAGATTGAACATAAATCCATCTATTATTTTTAAGTTTTTGCCATATATCTATTTCAGCTACAATAAGCTTAAAATTACAAGAGTCTGGGATACCTTTCACATGTTCGGTTAAGACCGTCACTTCACAATTTGGATTTCCGACACTTGATTGTATATTACCTAATTTGCACAAATAATAATTGTTATTTATCACTTTGCACTCACTTAAGTCTTCTAACACGGAATAAATTAATTTATCTTGTGTCACTGCCAGGAATTTTGCAGTTGGATTAATTAAAGCGAAAGTATTAGGATTATTGATATCATGAGGAGTTGGTAAAGAGTATACGTGGTACAAGTTGTGTTCTACAAAGGATACTAGAGGAATTCTGATTACAAAAATAAGTTTGTTGTCGTTAATGAAAGAAGATATTTCTGAGACATCTAAAATTGCGTGAATGTTACTAGGAGTCAAATGTAAAGGTAGGCTTAAAATAACATCGTTACTTTTCGAATTCAATTCATTGTACAATCGCATGGGACTTAGTACAGAAGGATGAATAATATTTTGTTTACCGAATAAAATAGCATCAATAAGGTCTTCTAAATTAAAATTAAGAATCATTAAAGAGCTTTCTAAAGCGCTGAAGGTCATTGATAAATGAGAAATGATTTCCAACTTATTGGTGTTTGTTGAAACAGTGTCTAAAATTTTATCAAGATTTTGTATGTTATTGTTTAGAATATATTCGTTTTCGTTAAGTTTAGTAATTGTATTATTGAATGATGAAATAGAAGAGGTCATGATATGTATATTTTCTTTCATGATTGTAGCTAAATGTCTTTGATCGTCTTGGACTGCATTAATGGCGTCTGTAAAGGCCTTAGCGTCATCTTTATCAAGTGAACCAAAGAGTTGTTTTAATATTGGTCCACCTATACCAAACCAAGCAGACCTTTTAGTTTTGCCTTTATTATCGGTACTAGTTAAATGGGATAGGGACATATAATTGTTCTGTACTTTTATAAATAGGCTTTCCAAAGGACTTAAAATATTCCAACAATCAGTTTTAACCTTAGTAGATTGGTGTGTATTACAAAAATTGTTTGCACGTTTCTAAAATTCTTTGAATAGTGTCTATATGAGGTTTTACATAGGATAAATCAGAAAAAGTTACTATGTTCCAATAATTATTATAATATTTTAAAACACCCATCGGATCATAAAAGAGACCTGGACTATTTACTATAGGCCTCGTCATGCTTGATCTTGCAAGGGATCCTGGCGCGATGGCCCTGGAAGAGAATCATTAAAAGCTAATTTAATTTCGTTAAAATGATATCTAACATGTCTACGATTGATTAAAAGAGTGACATTATTATTGCCATGTACTTTAATTATTTTATATGGACCTTTCCAGATACTAGAAAGAGCTTTACGCAGTCTGTGATGGTGCTTCACATACACCATATCTCCAACCTTATAAGAAATGTCTCTTGAAATGTGTTTTTATCATAATATTTTTTTGAAGTTTCTTTACTACGGAGGATATTTTCTCTGGCTATATTTCTGGTATTGATTAGCTTTTGTTTTAGGGTTTTAACATAATCAGGATAGGTTGCTGTTGGGTCAATATCGTAGATAGAACTAGGTAGATGAGGTTTACAACCAAACAACAACTCATGAGGTGTGAAATTAGTAGAAGAATGTACAGAAGAATTGTAAGAAATAATAGATGTTGGAAGATATTTGTGCCAATCGTCTTGATTATCGTTGACATAGGACTTTAAATATTCTTTTAAAGTGGCATGACTTCGTTCAAGAGCCCCATTAGTTTGAGGATGATATGGAGGAGAAAAGAGATGTTTAATTTTAAATAGAGATGTGATTTTTTTATATACTTCTGCAATGAAATGAACACCTTGATCAGATAATAGAGTTTTGGGGATGCCGAAGTGACAAATAAATATTAAACAATCAGCTGTTTGTTCAGTCGTTGAGTTAGGAAAAGGATAGGCCATGGAATATTTTGTCAAATCATCTTGAAAAGTAACTATATATTTATATCTTTCAGAACCGGATTCGGGTAAAGGACCAACAATATCAGTAGATACTCTTAGGAGAGGTTCGAGAGAAGTAGAAGTTATTTCCATTGGAGCTTTATTACGGGCGCGTAGAGCTTTATTTTGTTGGCAAAGTGGACAACGTTTAATATACGATTCAATATCGTTTTTCATACCTTTCCAGTAGTAAGATTCCTTTAATTTATTATATAACCGCGATGAACCAATATGTCCGCCAATAGGCGAATCATGATTATCTTTCAATATTGTAGGAACTTCGTTAGGGGTTGGGTAAATTATTTTATTATGATATATGTTTACGGTGATATTAGTGTTATGGAAAATAAAACAAATGATTTCATAGATCATTAAAAATTGAAGCTTGTCAAATGGATTGGAAAAATCAGACATAGAGATTTCTTTTACATCGGGATGAAATATAATTAATTCATTACGAAGATTGTTTAAAACGTTAAATATGTCTCTGTAATTACAAGAGTCATAATGATGTACTTTAGTAAACATGTGAAAATATGTTTTATTATTAATATTGGAAGTTTTTACAGAATATAATTCCTATTCAGAGTTTTTAAAGACTTCTACGTTATCTAAAAGGTTAATTATTTATTCACAGTAAGGGTTAGAAGAATCTAGATCGATTGATGTCGGATAAGCAATAGTATTGCAGGATGTCTTCAAAAGACTTTGATTGAATTCGTGAACTACAGTACTAAAAACCATTGGACTAGAACGAGATCGAAGGAAATTTCCATAAGTTATATCATTACTAAGATCTATATCATCAATATTATATATGGGAGGACGAGATAAGGCATCAGCATTAAGATTTGTTTTAGCGGACTTATAAACGATTTCGTAGTCATATTCTTCTAATTTAAGTCTCCATCGAACTAGTTTACTTGAGGGATCTTTACAATTAAAAAGCCAAACAAGAGGACGGTGGTCAGTTACTATTTTAAACTTTCTACCGTAGATAAAAGGTCGAAAAGTTTTGACTCCAAACAAGATTGCTAGAAGTTATTTCTCGGTGGTACTATAATTACCTTCTGCTCTATTAAGAGTTCGAGAAGCATATGCAATAGGGAGATCTTTGCCCATTTCGCCCTGTGAAAGAATTGCACCTAAGGCATAATTTGAAGCATCTGTTGTGAGTATAAAATCCTTCGAGAAATCAGGATATTGAAGAATGGGAGCACTTGTTAACATAGACTTAACCTTTGAGGTACCGGGCGTCTCAAAAGCGCGTTTTCGCTAAGTCCCGCGCTCGTTAACGTAATTGGCGCATCAGCGCGCCGTTGCACTCGAGACCGTATTTCAAGGTTTTGTTAATGTTGTAAGTACAGTCTCGTTATTGTTCTCAAAAGCTAGTGAGATGATCAATAAGATTAAATGAAAACAATAACATTTTTTATTAGATAAGGAAGGACATGGGTTTTTAGTATGGAGAAATATTTTATTGTCATGGAAAAATCTAAGTAGAACCCGCACGGCGGTCGACCAAGCGCTGACGCTAAACTAAGTTTTGTGAGAGAAAAAAGTGAATGCATGCGGTGGAAATGGTAAGGAGGTACTAAAACATATGTTGGTACAATAAAAAACCTTATGGTATAAATAAAAAATATATTGAAATATAAAAAAGAATAAAAATATATTAAAATTGTATTAGCTAGAGAAATGATGCAAACAACTTTTATCTCCGTTCTACACGCTCAAACAATCACTCACAAATTTACCAATGTGTGGTATTCTTCCAAACATGCACCTACACACAACGCTACCTTGCACACTTTGCACATCAGTGTGACAGAAACGCGTCGATTTTGAGCAGCGCACCGAGCACAACGTAATTGCTTGTGTTTCGCCTTTTGGGTCCGTGAGGCAAGCTCCGTGTGGACAGGGAAGTGTTGTCCTGGTTGAAGACGTTGAAGCAATTGCGGTGTGCTCGGTGCTCTGTGTGGTCCTGAAGATACGCGAGGGTACCGGCTCAAAAGCCCATGGACGAGCATTCGCCGAAATTGGCGGTGGGAGTACACGTGGTACATGGGGTTTTTGGTGTACACTATGTAAGTGTTTAGAAGGAAGCGTCTCCCCGGAACCATCTCGGGTATATGGTATGTAGAGATTACGGTGACCACCTTCACATCCTTCCAAGAAACTAAAGTGATGTCACCGGAATGTCTATATACCGTAGTTCCTCGCGGCACATTTGGCATCACATCCTTCACAGCTGGTGGTATGCCATTACGCCGACGGTTCAAAGTCCCCAATACGTCCGTACACCGGGATTTGAGGTACCTAGTCATGAACAATTGGTTATACCAATTGTCCATGACAAGTACATGACCAACATCTAAATACCCATCGATGAGGTCCAAGACAATCTTAGCTGTGTGGTCTTGAAACCCATGTATGGGATCTGGATATTGGTCTGTACTCTACCCGGTGTACAGACGGTATTGGAGGAGGTACCCAGTCTCCGCCTCGCAAAGCTCGAAAGATTTGATGCCATATCTTGCAGCTTTCGACCTAATACACTGCTTCCAGCTTAGACGGCCCTTCCATAACAGTAAGGACTCGTCTAAGCTGAGATGTTGTGCAGGAGTGTATAAGTCTTTGAATTTTTTATTGCAATGTGCCACAACTGGTGCAACTTTTTGAATCTTCCTGAGATGCCCACTGGTCAGCAAACTTTCATTCGAAGTAAAATGCAAAAATTTGCTGATCAGTTGGAACCTGTTCCGCCCCATAATCTCGCGGAACTCTGGCATGCCCATTATCCCCGTCTCCCAGTACTCGCGAATATTGGAGCGGTGGCAGAAAGACATCAATATTAGCACGGCGAAGTATCTATATAGTTCCTCAACCGTGATCTCGGTCCAAAATTCCAAGTACTTTGGAATCTCGGCATCGAGATCAGGGTCGGAAAATTGTGAGATAATTTGCCATGCATATAAATTAGTCTCTCTAACCACCAGCTTCATGAACTCGCTATCCCAGACTTGGTAGAAATATTCCGCGGGATCATTGGACGAAAATGCTGGACCGGGATCGCGTGTATACGTCTCTTTCTGGGCGTTAAAAGTTGAAAATTCATCCGACCAAGAAAAAGTCGGATTCACGCGTGCCCGCCCTTGCTCCGCCCTTTCATACCTATCAGACCTTTCGCTACTTTCAAACCTTTCACCACTTTCCCTTTCATGACTTCCAGCCCTTCCTCTTGTATTCTCATCACTTTCATGCACCACATCCACATTTTCGTGAATCATTTCTTCATCCATCCGCTCACATTCTACTTGCACATTGATCATTCTCTCATTCATACTTACATCGTGGCCATTCTCCGCATTTGCATCATTTTTCTGAATCCATCCATCCTCTGGATCCGTCACCACGATGCGGTTTCGCATTTGGCGGGTATATTGACGGAGGCCCATAAAGTTGATGACGTCAAGATCCTCGTCTTCGTCATTGCCATCCTCAAAGTCATCCCCTTCGTCGCTCCCAGAGTCGTAGAGTAGATTAATGATGTTTTCATCTCTGAGCTGTATGGTGCGACGACGTTTTGGGGACCCCTCAAATACGGTACCCGCCGACGACCGCTTGCGATATGGCGTCTCATCGGTTCTCCAGGGCTAAAAAGAATATTGAAGCAAATTAGGGTACAATAGTTAAACAGAAATATGAAACACACACTTTGGTTTTCATGTGTACTTACACAAATCGTCGCATCTTTTACCCCTGCCGTCCCATCAAATGATACGGGGTGCGGGAGAAGGCGTCAGCCTGATCCACTCGGTTCTGGTTGGTTGTCAGCCATTTTTCTTGAGATGAAAAAAAAAAACAACAAATTAGTTAAGTAATGCATTATCTCATCTGGAATGCGTTCACTGCTTGACAAAGGACAATGTCCAGCTTCAAGCATAAACTCAATAAAATTATGAGAAAGCTCTTGGCACGACAAATCTAACGAGCCCTAACACGATACGATAGGATGTGTGACTTAGGAGTTCCGTCCCATCACCTGCTGACTCCATCATCAGACCCTGGATACCATCTAGGGGACAATCCTTGACATGACGAATCCAACGAGCCCTAACACGATAAGATAGGATGTGAACCTTAGGAGTTCCGTCCCATCACCTGCTGACTCCATCATCAAACCCTAGATACCATCTAGGTAGACAATCTTTGACATGACGAATCCAACGAGCCCTAACACGATAAGATAGGATGTGTAGTTTAGTATTTGTACGGGTTCTTTGTAATAAACTATTATTAGTATACAACATCCAAATAAATAATGTCAATGTACAATGCGGTATGAAAAAAAGTACACGTTAAGAGTATTAAAAGCATTTTCTTGATTTTGAGTCCAATCGAAAGTAGAATCTTTACGAAGTAATGAAGTTAGAGGTTTTGTAATTTTAGAGAAATCCTTTATGAATCTTCTATAATATCCTGTCAGGCCAAGGTAGGATTTTATTTCCTTCGGATTTCTGGGAGTAGGATAGTTTGATACGGCTTTTACCTTGTCGGGGTTAGGAGATACGCCTTTATCGGTAATAGTATGACCTAAATATGCGACTTCCCGTCTTAGGAACTCACACTTATCTGGCTGTAACTTAAGATTATGCTTTCTAAGAGCCTGGAATATGAGTTTAAGTTTATCTATGTGAGAAGAAAGTGAGTGAGAATAGCAGATGATGTCATCCAAATATATGAAACAGTGGAGACCTTGGAGACCGGAAAGCACGGTATTCATCAATCTTTGGAAAGTGGCAGGTGCATTTTTTAACCCAAAAGGCATTCGATTATATTCGAAGTAAGCCTCGGTAAGCCCATCAAGAACGTATGAAGTGCTAAGTCTTCTGTGCTGGCGATTCGGCCCTTTAATTCACTAGGATCCTTAGTAGAATGTGTGATGTCAGTTTGTAATCGCGTTAAATATGTCTCTACTCGTAGGCTATATTGTGTAACCGTTTCATTAGACTTTTGTTTACAATTTTGTAAGTCTAATAATAAATGATCCTATGCTTGGTTTCCCCGAAAGTTAATTTTAAAAACTTTTTCAACTCAGACCAATTGTCAAAATTTTTTAAAGAGCAGGCGGACTCTGCTTTACCTTCCAATTGTGAAATTATATATTGCAAGAGGATGTTATGTTGCGATGCGGTGGCCAAGTTTAACGCATTTTCGCAGTTTCTAATAAAGGCTGTTAACCTGTTTCTATCACCATCGAAAGGTTTTATAAACTTAGTCAAAATTGAAAAATTTAATTCCTCTGATCCTACGCTTTGTATACTTGAACACGACTGAGCGTTTTTCTTTTCAAGTTTACCACTTTCGTTAACCATTTTTATATAAAAAGGGAGCAAAAATTAAGACTGAAATTAGTAAAAATATGTCAGTGACAAAAAATAAATTAATATAAACGAGCAAACACTCACAATATTAGCAGTATGTAGAACGATGTCATGGATGCAGCGGAAATCGGAGCGGCGACACAGCGGTGACGCAATGTGCAGCGTTGCTGATTTTGCAATAGGTACGGGTCGGCGTTAAGTGTGTCGTGGTCTTGTACTCGTGTGATTATGAACTCGGTGCCGGGCAATGACCCCTCGGGCACAGTGGAGTTCGATGACACGTTGTCTACGATGTCCGGAGTCGGCGGCGGCCTCAGGGAGCGTCAGAGAGACGGCGGAGACAGCAGGTGGCCAACTTAGTTCAGGAACTGGTTAAGGCCAAGTTGTGTTTCAGCAGGTCGTCGTCAGGAGTAGGCGACCAGAGGGACTTCAAAAATCCCCTTTCTTATGACACCAAATGTTAGATTGGACAGTCCGGCACTTTTAAAAAAAAACCACCACTGACTATCACAATTATTTATTTTATAACTCTACACAACTTTTGGCAACTTAATATAGACACAAACTTATATAACACCACTTAACACGGATTATACGCGTTTTTATTGGCCCCAGCGAAGGGCAGAATAGACCCGGAGTATATTATTGCTCTAGAATTCCTTGCTGAAAACCAACCAAGGTTGGGGAGTAGTCAGAGACCACAAATTATATCAGCACTAGAGAATAATAACTGACTAATTTAAGAAAAGGATTGGTATTTATAGTGTATTTATTGCTGATCTGCAATGTTAAATTTATGTCATTTTGCTATTATTGCAAGTCAGCAATATTGTATTGCATTCCTATGCAATATCATCAAAATTAGGGATGTAACAGTACGTAGGAATCAATACAGAAAAGCATAAAAATGAAACAAATACCGACATAAATTAGGATAGCAAAATATATTATACGTCTAAATACATATACATATGTATATATATATACACATACATACATACCAAGGGTCTGATTATTGAAGGGACAGATAATAATCCCTGGTTCTCTTCCTGAACACGCTAAGAGAAGGGCTATTGTGTATTGCACGCGGATAGGCATTCCATAGCCGAACAGCGGCAACACTAAAAGAGTTGTCATAACGACTCGAAGTGTGGGAGGTGCTTGTGGAAGGTGTATTGCTCAGGCGCTTCCTAGATTTTTTATTCTGTGGAAGTAATTCAGAGGAAACAATTGCATTGTTAACACTATTTTCATCATCAGACATGGTGGTCGATGAACTCAAAGAGCGTCGTAACGATGATAATTATAAGTCGGATCAGCATCACTCAAATCAACGTCTGATTCCTCGGAATTCACAGGTGATTGACGGTAGTTTATGTTTTTCTCTAAACGACTTTTGCTAGTTGAAGGCTGGTTAGAAATCATATCTGTCGGCGTGACCTTCTATGATTGGAGGTGAGCAGTTAATGCTCATTTCGTTTTCGTGTTGATTGGCTGATGAAGAAGATTTAGATGATGACGAACATATACTACACCATAACATTATTATAATTCAGTATTGAAACGCCCAAAAGTAAAAAAAGACTTTACAAAAATAAAAATTGAACAAATAACTTACCTTGCGATTAGTATCAAAACGACGAATTACAGTTTACGTCGCTTACGGAGTAACTGTGCGGCACCCAACGTTTAGCACTGTGGACGGAATACTGAATAATGGTCCTTTAATACCGAGAGACGCGCGGTAAGCGCGTGGTATGAAAGAGACGGGAATAGTATTTTCGTCCTTTTCTGGCCTAAAAGATTCTAGTTTTTATTAATATTCTAAAAGTCGTTCGACGTGTATAAGTAGTTATGTTGAAATTTTTAGTTAAACCACTTCAATTCTAAACGTGCGAATGAGTGATAGCTGGAACGACGTCACTTACAATAGGCCGCAACATTTGTTGTTGAATGCCATCATCACCTATTATTAACAATACCAAGAGATCTAAGGAATCGCCATACCTGTGGTGATTTGAAATTTTTAATGGAATCGTGAATGTGGCGTCTTTTCGCATCCCGACACAGACGACTGCAGCGATTCCGGAGAAATTTATAGACTAACCAATTCTCATCCGAAGAGTTCTTTTTATATCTTCCCATGGCTTTATCGCGCTTGAACATTAGATGTTTAATCTTTTCGGAAAGCCAAGAAGCAGGAAGATTCTTAACTCTTACTTTTTTTAATGGCTCATGTTTATCGAAAAGATCTATTTTAGAGTATTTTATTTAATTTTTCAATTTAGTGTCAATATCGCTACAATTGTATATATAGGTGCGCCAAATAACTTTTTTTTTTTTGAAAATGCTATAAAAAAAAACTACTGAATATTTTCTCAAATTTATTTTTTTATTTGAAAGTACAATCCTTCCGGTTAATAATGGAAAATAATTTCATTCAAATGGCTGCCTCGGCTGGCTATGCAGTAGCCTACACGATCGGTCCAATTTTTAAGCACATTATCGATTGTGTGCAGCTGTATTTCATCAATGGCTTCACGAATATTGTCCTTTAAAGCGTCAATTGTCTCTGGCTTGTCGGCGTAACACTTATCTTTGAGGGCACCCCACAAATAATAGTCCAGCGGTGTCAAATCGCAGCTCCGAGGTAGCCAAACGACATCAGCTCTACGGCTGATAATGCGATCTTCAAAAACAGGGCGCAAAACATCGAGTGTAGCTTCGGCTGTGTGGCACGTAGCGCCGTCCTATTGAAACCAAATGTTGCCAATATCCTCCTCTTCAATTTTTGTGAACAAAAATTCGTTCAACATGGCCCGATAACGATCGCCATTGACTGTAACGGCCACTGCTTGCTCAATTTCGAAGAAAAATGGCCCAATTATGCCTCTGGACCAAAATCCGCACCAAACAGTGAATCGTTTTGGGTGTTACCGGCTTTTCAATGTATGCGTACGGGTTTTCTGTGCCCCAAATGCGACAATTTTGCTTGTTTACATACCCGCCAAGATCAAAATGAGCTTCTTCCGAAAAGATGATTTTTTTGGCAAAATCGGCATCTTCTGTAAGCCGATCGCAGGCCCACTCAGCGAAGCGAAAACGCATTGGATGGTCAGTTGGCTTCAACTCCTGAACCAATCGGACTTTGTATGGCGTCATACCAAGGTCTTTATGCAAAATTCGTCTCAATGATGTCTCCGAAATGTTCAATTGTTGAGAACGACGGTGAATTGATGTTGATGGCGCTTCACGCACACTTTCTGCCACAGCATCAATATTCTCGGGTGTACGCACTATTTTTGGCTTTTCACGCTTTGGTGTATCGATGAGGATGCCAGTTTCTTTCACTTTTTTCACAAGATAACGAACATACGGAGCTGACGGTGCTTCTCTTCTTCCAAAATCCGTACGCAATTTTCGCACACATTCTGCAACATTACCATGATTTTCAAAGTAATGTCGCAATATTTCCCAGCGTTGTTCAAACCTATATACAACCATATTCGTTCAGCGGAAGGATAAAACTAATTATCTGTCAAATCAGACATGAGCTAAGTGTTACCATTCACGAAATAATCACTAGTTGAAAAAAAAAACTTTAGATGGCGGACCCTTTATGAGACCAATTCATTTTTTCGACATCCCCTCTCAAACATGCGTTGAACTGAGGTTTGTTATGTTAAGGTTAGGTCGGTCTTAAAATCGTTATAAAGAGGTAAAAAATAGTTTTATTCACCTCAACATTACGTACTCATCTTGTTATAGCGAACAACTTCTACTAATAAATGATAACACATTTTTATCAAATTACTGTATGTATTTTCTATTTAAAAACAATTAGGTAGGTAACAATTTTTTTTCTTACATTAATAATCAAAATTAAATACAGTAAAATCCGTAAAAGTAGACACATATCTTGGCGCGGGGAAAAAAAATTATGTAAGTAATGTTAATTTTAAAGGTTCGCACAACAAAACTCACGAATTAAAGGTAATGAATCAACAATGTAGTTATAGTAGCTTAATCTCAATTTTGTTCATCTTGATTAGAAAAAAAGTCAAAAATAGTTGTCTGTTTACCACAGGTAAGAGTTATCACATCCAAAGCGCAATACAATTTCGTGATGGATTTGACTACATCGTCACTCAAACCTCCCTTTTTAAGAAACACAGATTTTATTATATTTAAAGCATCATAAGCATCTTTTATTGTGAAGTTATGCTCATCAATTTCACCCCTTCTGCCTCGTCTTTATCCGCTTCTGCATTGCATGTCTTTAACCGGCAACACAGATGTGACAATGTCAGCATCAGTTAGTTCCCCACAGACGGCTAAATCATTATCAAATGTAACGAAGTCTTCGAACTCAGTCTCTTGAAAGTGCAATTCTTCTTGAACTGTTTGCCACGTCCTAGCAAGTTCTGGGTGTGGTATGTCGTCTTCCTCATCTTCGCATGTTACTTTAAACTTTTCTTGAAGCAGTTTGCAATGGTCTTTTCAGTGACTAGATTCCAAGCTTTGGCGATCATCCACAAGGCTTGTAAAACGTCAATTGTAGTTGGCGTTTGGCGTTCAACATCAGCAAGAAATCGTCCGACAACTTCCTTCCAATAATACATTTTGAAGCTTTGAATGATGCCTTGGTCCAGTGGTTGTAGTTTCGAAGTGGTATTTGGAGGCAAGGTACTTTATTTTTATATTTTTCAGATTAGGAATTTCTCCGTGTGCAGTACAAGTATCGATGAACATAAAGAGTCGTATTCATGGTAAACATTTGTTTAGCAACAGTTAATCAACATTGTTGGTGAGCAGCAAGAATGTTGTTAGCAACTATGTTTAAATCAATACAGGTTGTCTACACGCCAGTCTGCGTTATAATGTTGCCCGAGGAGGTAGTGTTGTTGTGTTCTCTGTATCTGATGTATAGGATTTCTAATTTAAAAAAAAGAAAAAGATGGTGGATTCGAAACTATCTTTTGCAAAGAGAAAATTTGATGAGTGACCTCAGAATGACAGATGGATCATTTTGTAACTTTACGAGAATGTCGAAAAGTGATTTCGAACATCTTCTGGAAATGATTGGTCCATCAATAGCCAAAAGGGAAACAAACATCCGTCAGCCAGTTTCACCTCAAACGAGGCTGGCTATTACATTACGGTATCTGGCAACTGGAGATTCATACAGTTCTCTTTCATACACATTCAAAGTATCAAAACAATTGATTAGCAAAATCATACCAGATGTATGTCAAGAACTAATTAACTCACTATCAGGATATGTCAAGGTATTTTAATAATAAAAAAACACAAAAAAAACAGTATATGCTATTGTGTTGATTCATCACTGAGATAGTTAACTAAGTTTAGTATAGCCGAATCTTCTGTTTCGTCTTGTATTGCATGTAGCCTATTTGTTTCCAGTCTCTCAATTTCCCCTATTTCAGTTTCCTGGACTTTATTTGGTGTTGATGATGGATGAAAAGATGCCGTTTGATATCCATATGTATTATATCGTCCCATTTTTAATTCATACAGTATATTAAGCTATATTCAACACTTTACTGAGGGTGTTTTGAATAATTTTGTCAATTTTTTTCTAAAAGTGATGGGTGTTTCCAAAGTGAGGATGACCGAAGTGCATGTATAAATTTAGGTACAAAAAGACAAAAACGGAGTATAGTAAAAGCCGAATGGACATTAATTTTAAGTAAAAGATCCAAAAAAATCACCAAAAATTTTAATTTTGTCCTCTATAAAAGATTGAAAAACCATCTTCCAAAACTGGACATCCAAGAAGGCGAAGAGAATTTTTTTTTTAAAGTTTAAATTTGGGTGCAGGGCCGCGACGACCCCCCCACAGCGCCTGTGTGCGAAACCTATGAAGCGCCTCTTTTTTTCACGAATCTTCATGGTTCAACTTATGTTTTTTTATTATTTGTTAATTTTGACCGAAATAAATGTTCTGCAGTTTTATATACTTAGAAAATATTTTCCTAAATAGGTAAACCCAGTTCGCTTCCGCTTGCAAATTACTGCGAAAAATAAAACACAAATTTAATTTTTACATACTTTACTTATGATGTTATATCTAATTGTATACTTAGAAATTAATAACGAAATAGCTGACTTTTCTAATAATACTGATTTAACTATTACGTATGCTATGTTTAAAAAAAATAACAAGGGCCTAAAATATGTAAGAATATAAACATACTTAAATTATATTATTTCCACTCTTCTCGCTTTTCTGTTTGCGAAATCCTTAATAATCTCGTGTATGTCTATATGGTCTAATATGGCCTCCTCTATATTGTTGCTAAATTTGTTGATCTTTCCTGGCTCATTGTTGAGCGCAGGTAATTTTTTATAAGTTTTAATTTAGAAAAGGACCTTTCCGCGCTTGCTACGGTAACTGGCATAGTTAGCAAAATTCGTAATGCTATTTTGATGTTAGGGCAAACAGCTGTCAAATTGTTTAAATATATAAATTCGAGAATTTTCACCACATCATTATTTAATTTTTTGAAAAGAGACTGACACGACACAATTTCTTCATACAAATCATCGGCGTTAATATCCAATAAATCATTTGCAGAAAGTTTTTTCTGCAAACGATGACAGCTACTTCTTAATCGACTTTGATCTTGGTCATCACTTAGTTTGAATAAAAAATTAAACACGTCATTTTGATTATTTAATAAATCTTTCGTCTACGGAGGATAAAGCTTGATCCAAAATATACAAAAATACATTAATTTTAAAAGCGGTCTTCAGATCATTTATAGTATGGTCTTCGTGTTCATAATCAAAACTCTTTGGAGTCTTACGACGTCTTAGGGGTCTGGATCTGGAAGTTTCAAATTCAGCCTCGACATCTAATTTTTCGGCAATTTTCATGGCATCATTAACAATTGCCTCAAAATTTGCGTCGGTTCTAATTTTTATCATAAACACTTCAATTCCGTTAAAGCATCTAAAGCAACTTGCATATTCATATCGACGGACTGCAGAATTTTGCTCACAAAATTTACTTTTGTCAAAATCATATGCCATATATTTAGTGAACAAATGAATGAAAAGGAGCATATTTTTTCTGCTAGACATTTAGCGTCATATTTTGCCTTCTGATCGTATGATATACCATTTGATATTTCATCATAAATTTCTGGTAAATTTGTAAACAGCGGTTTGATAGCATCTATTCTGCTTGACCATCTTGTTTCAGACAATGGTTTTAAGGTCAGATTCATGACATATTTTTTTAATATATCCCATCTTTTGGTAGAGGACGAAAAATATTTGTGTAATTCTTGCACAATACTAAAAAATCCAGTCGTATGATAATTGAGATTGGCAGCGTCGTTTACTATTAAATTTAAACTATGGCACGGTACATAGAAAGCGCGGGGATTTAGATCCAGCAATCTTTTTTGGAGACCATTATTCTTACCGCGCATATTTGATCCATTATCATAGCCCTGTCCCCTTAAGTTGTTTATGTCCAAATTAATTTCGGCTAGTTTTTCTACTATAAATGACGTTAATCCAGCGCCAGTAGTATCGATAATTGGACAGAAAGCTAGGAAATGCTGCCTTATTTCCAACTTTATATTTTCTGTGTTAAAATAGACAAATCTTATTATAATACTAATTTGCTCTACGTGTGAAACGTCAGGTGTACAATCCAGTATTATTGAAAAATATTTATTAATTTGACATAAATTTAAAATAAAATGTTGAATTTGGTTACCGAGTATGTAAATTATTTCATTCTGGATCTTATCTCCAAGATAAGTCGGCATATTTTTGAAATCCGAATCATTCGTTACGCGTCGTATATGTTCAGTCATTGAAAGATCGAATTAACGAATTAACTAACAGTTCAATACATTTTAAAAAATTACCATTGTTACGGTCGTATAATTTCTGGCTTTGGTCTCGAAAAGCCATATTTTGTATACTTAGAAATTGGACCACATGTATTTTATTCTTTTGATTACATCGTACCAGCGCTGCTTTTCAACCTCTGAAAGTTTTTGTTGAATAGTGTTTTTATTTTTAAGAGCGTGACATAAATCTGTCCATTTTTTTTAATTATTGAAATGAGCAGAACTTTTCTCATGTCTGCTGCAATACAAAGCTAGATGTTGCCAATCACTAATTCCCTCGCAGAATTTATTATTATGTTTTGATTCAAATAGCTTGCAACAGAAGCAATAAACGGCATTTTCGGACACTGAATACAGAAGCCACTCTCTGTGATACTTTTCACCGTTTCCTAAATGCCTTTCATAATAATACTCGGAAAATTTTCGCCCCGAAGAGTCACGCGGAAAATTATACAGTTTAATTTTATTAATCGGATTTTCTATTAAATACTGGATCACAGTAGCATTGAAAACTTTTGGCCAGAGTCCAGGGTCATCTTTGGAAAAAATTGGTATTGGTGACGATAATTGTTTTGGCGGTGACAATGGTGTATCAGGCAGAGGCACGGACGTAACTTCAGCGGCATCATCTGAAATTAAAGACAGACAAACAAAGACATATGAGTACCTATCTACCTGTCGGAATAAACTGATTTATCTATGAATAATTATTAATGTTTCAAAAAAATCGTCAATTTTTTTTTCTTCATTAATTCGAAAATATTGTTGCAAATGGTGAAAAAAAAATACTGTGAAAGTTTGGGCTCTTAATATTGATATTAAGACGTGCCGCATCGTGAATTTCAATTTCCCATTTAAATAACATAGGAAAAACGTTCTCTTGGATTTTAGAATTTCGTAACTCACGTTAGGGATAATATTTTTAAATGAACAAAACTCATTCTAATATAGAATTTAACGTTCAACAAAGAAGGTTTCTTACAGTTTTTCGTTGAGACATCGCCAGGTCTTTACACGTTATCAAGTGTGAGGTTGAAGTCGGACCGTCCACGGTGATGTCCCAAGGCGAGCAACGGCTGTTGTATATGTCCTCTGCTCCTCCCGGCTCGGTCCCCCACTCGTCGCACACGTCCGGGTAGTCCTCCCGCACGCCGCGCTGTTGCCCGTTATAGTGCGTTTAGTTAACTCGCAGTCGCAACATGCTCCCCCGGTTGAAGGCTGGAGGCTTCAAAATCTGGAAGAGGACATATGTTATTATATGCTCTGCGAATGGTACCGCCTGACGTTCTAAGCTCTGCCACTCTGGAGATGCCGTCGCTTCCTGGGTAGAGCTTGATCACTCTTCCTAAAGACCATAGAAGAGGAGGAAGAGCCTTATCCTTAATAATGACCAGAGATCCCGGTTTCAGCTCTGACCTTGAAGATCTCCATTTAGTCTTTGCCTGCAGTAAAAAAATATATTCCATCTTGAAGCGATGCCAAAAGTGCTGCTTTATAACTTCTATTCGCTTAAAGCGCTCAAGAGCAGTGATGTTATTGGATGACACCTCTGGATGCGGAATAGCTACAAGTGGTCGTCCAATTAAAAAATGAGCTGGAGTTAAGGCGGAAAAATCACAGGGATCAGAGGACAGTGGTGTCAAGGGACGAGAGTTTAAAACTGCCTCTATTTGGGTAAGGCAAGTAGCCATTTCTTCGAAGGTAAAATGAGTTATTTGCAGTAACCTACGAAGATGATGCTTAGTTGAGCGGACGGCAGCCTCTGCTAAGCCATTGAAGTGTGGACTAGAAACAGGTACGAATTTGAAGGTAATTTCCTCACGCGCAACAGAACCCTCGAGGTCCGATTGCGCGAAGAATTTGGACAGTTCATTAAAAGTACCCACAAAATTTGTACCATTATCCGACGTGATACTAGAAGGCTTACCACGTCGAGACACAAAACGATTTAAGGCGGCTATGTAAGCTTCGGTCGATAGCGCTGTTACGAGCTCTAGATGACAGGCCTTTACAGAGTTGCAAATAAAAATGGCCAAATAACATTTACTAAGTCTGCAACCTCTACCTTTTCGATCTGCTACTAACACTGGCCCAGCATAATCCACAGAACAGTGCAAAAAGGGAAACTCTAATTGAGTTCTTGATGTCGGTAACTGTCCCATTACAGGCTGAACAGTTTCAGCTAGATACCTAAAACACCCAACACATTTATGGTAAACAGCCTTAGATAGGTTCTACCCCCTAAGGGCCAATATGTCAACCAACCTTATGGTTGCTAAAAGTAGTTGTGGACCAGCGTGTAAATATTTTAAATGAAAGTAATGAAATAGAATTTTACTAAAATGATGTTTACTACAAATTAAAATGGGATATTTAGTATCAAAACTATATGTTGT